AGAAATTGTCTTTAAAGTAGAATCAAAGTGACTTAACCATAGAGAGTAACTACTGCATAACAAGCTGTGTACAGGAACTGAGACACTGCACCATTGACCAGAAGTGCATCGCAAATGACCTGATGTGCTTCAAGTGAAAAGACTGTATCTGGAGATCCTGATGTGCATCTGGAGAGACCAGAACCATGGCTTGGACCCTACTGATGTCCAAGATGACATCTCTCTATGACCTGACCTGATGACTGTCCCTCCGGGGACCCTGAGGACCTGAGGACCTGAGGACCCTGAGGACCAGAGGACCTGAGGACCCGGAGGACCTGAGGACCCTGAGGACCCTGAGGACCCTGAGGACCTGAGGACCTGAGGACCTGAGGACCCTGAGGACCTGAGGACCTGAGAGAGAAAAAAAGGGGAGTGAGGTTTATATTTTTAAAATCATACATTGATGAGTGCTAAATGAGACAGATTCTCATGATTCTTTCTTTTGTTTTTGTTTGTCTCTAGCTTCTGGACATCTGATGATGTATTGGACACAAACATTTGCAGAACAAGAACCAGCCAATGGAAAACCATCTATTGCCGATGCTATTGCTACAACCAGAACCACAACTATGACCAAATGCAACACATGTAAAGTATTCAGACATCTGACAGACAAACACTTTGACTTTTTAGTCTGGGAGACTGAGCAACTGTTAAAATGTTTTAAAATGATAAAGTATGAGTATTGTAGCGTTTTAGTAGATGTTAAATAGTAGTAAAAAAGTAGAATTGTCCTTCCTTTGTTTTTCAGAAACACATTTCAACATAAGAGTTAAAATAACTATATAATGTTATCTCTGATAGAGCATCAAAAATATTAGAATCAGAATAATGTTAGAGATATTAAAAGTGACAGAAGTCACAAACTAGAAATATGCCTTTGCTCAAGCTGCAGCCGAGCTTTGGAGTGAAAAAATAGTGTAGAAATAGAAATAGATAAATGCATCAACCATAGATGCTTTCAAAAATAGAGATTATTTCTTGCCAGTGCTAATATCAAACGGTAAAAGGAGCATTTCCTTCAAAATAGATTCACAAACATTTACTTCAGAAGTAAATAAAGTTAATTACAGTTTATGTAGTTTTATTAGATACTGTCAAATTCACTTGTTTCAAACATCTGTGAATGTTGACAATACAAAAGTTCGTATGAGTGTGGCCTAGATTAATGAGATAGATTAATGAGATAGATTAATGAGACAAATTAATGAGACAGATTAATGAGACAAATTAATGAGACGGATTAATGAGATAGATTAATGAGACAGATTAATGAGACAGATTAATGAGATAGATTAATGAGATAGATTAATGAGATAGATTAATGAGACAGATTAATGAGATAGATTAATGAGATAGATTAATGAGACAGATTAATGAGATAGATTAATGAGATAGATTAATGAGACAGATTAATGAGACAGATTAATGAGACAGATTAATGAGACAGATTAATGAGATAGATTAATGAGATAGATTAATGAGACAGATTAATGAGACAGATTAATGAAATAGATTAATGAGACAGATTAATGAAATAGATTAATGAGACAGATTAATGAGACAGATTAATGAGACAGATTAATGAGATAGATTAATGAGATAGATTAATGAGATAGATTAATGAGACAGATTAATGAGACAGATTAATGAGACAGATTAATGAGATAGATTAATAAAATAGATTAATGAGATAGATTAATGAGATAGATTAATGAGACAGATTAATGAGACAGATTAATGAGATAGATTAATGAGATAGATTAATGAGATAGATTAATGACACAGATTAATGAGACAGATTAATGAGATAGATTAATGAGATGGATTAATGAGATAGATCAATGAGATAGATTAATGAGATAGATTAATGAGATAGATTAATGAGATAGATTAATGAGATAGATTAATGAGATAGATTAATGAGATAGATTAATGAGATAGATTAATGAGATAGATTAATGAGATAGATTAATGAGATAGATTAATGAGATGGATTAATGAGACAGATTAATGAGATAGATTAATGAGACACATTAATGAGATAGATTAATTAGATAGATTAATGAGATAAATTAATGAGACAGATTAATGAGACAGATTAATGAGACAGATTAATGAGATAGATTAATGAGATAGATTAATGAGACAGATTAATGAGATAGATTAATGAGACAGATTAATGAGACACATTAATGAGATAGATTAATGAGACAGATTAATGTGACAGATTAATGAGATAGATTAGAACCAATAGAGATTCAAAAGCATTTTGATGCATCTGGGTATAGCCCAAAAACAAAATAGTAGATATCTTTGATAAGTTTAAAAAGCTGTTGATTCACCAGAACAGATTAGAGAATCAAACACCATTGTAGAATAACTGACCCCAAACTGCCTGACAAGAATATCTTTAGATAATAAAAAGTAATAAATCACTGACCACTATAGAAGTGTAAATGTAACCATTTGTCTTTCTGTGTTCACAGTTTTATTCCTTAGAATGTAGAATAGACATAGAGCAAAATCCCACTAACAATAATCCACTGATAATGAAAGTAAACCACAGAGAGATTTATTAGATTAAAATATATGTTTAAGAATATGGCTCAATAAAATCAAATATGCAAACATATTTGTAAATAGATTAGAATATTTTTAAACTATAGTGAATCATGAAAGTAAATTACACAGTCTAAGATTGAAAAGTGAAAATAATAAAGTGAAATAAGTGAAGTGTAAACAATTAGTATTAGAATAAAAGTATAGAGTAAGAAAAGTTAAATTAGCTTCTAATTTGAGACTCAGTTCGTTTTTGTCTGTTTGACTGAATCTGCGAAGTTCTACTGTGTCCAATAGTTTTTGTTTGTTTTTGTTTTTCTTTTTTGTTTTGTTTTTTTCCCAGGATAGAGGATAAAATCCACTGATATTGATTTGATGATTATGAGTAATGCATACATTTTCTTAGTTTTTTAATATATATATTTTTTTTAAGTTTTTTCTTTTTAACTTTCCTGATTGATCAAATTGAGTGATCACATGTGATTATGTGATCAAAGGGGTGAGTGTTAGTATTAGATAGCAATATGGCCTACGTGCAGGACTGTACAAGGACTCTGATTATTTTGACTCTGATGTGACTGTCTCTGTGTGACACGTCTTTCCATGTGTGACGTGAGAATGACTATATAAACTGTGTACTGACTTTAACAATGACTATATAAACTGTGTACTGCCTTTATTCTGTCTGAGAGAAAGAAACAAAGGAAACCACTGGAACTTGAGAGAAACTTAAATAAACTTCCAGAGTTTGGCGCACCACGATCCGTCTCTGTCTGCTTCATCCCTGACACAGGGACTGACCTCCTGCTGGGACTCTGAGGAGCACAGGGACTGACCTCCTGCTGGGACTCTGAGGAGCACAGGGACTGGCCTCCTGCTGGGACTCTGAGGAGCACAGGGACTGACCTCCTGCTGGGACTCTGAGGAGCACAGGGACTGGCCTCCTGCTGGGACTCTGAGGAGCACAGGGACTGGCCTCCTGCTGGGACTCTGAGGAGCACAGGGACTGGCCTCCTGCTGGGACTCTGAGGAGCACAGGGACTGACCTCCTGCTGGGACTCTGAGGAGCACAGGGACTGGCCTCCTGCTGGGACTCTGAGGAGCACAGGGACTGACCTCCTGCTGGGACTCTGAGGAGCACAGGGACTGGCCTCCTGCTGGGACTCTGAGGAGCACAGGGACTGGACTCCTGCTGGGACTCTGAGGAGCACAGGGACTGGCCTCCGGCTGGTGCCCATAGTTATCACTAAATGTGGAGAGGCAGTGTCTCAGATTTATACAGCTAGCATCTGGAACAGTCTTCCTGAAAGTGTGAGACAGGCGTCTCCTCCAGTTTTAGTGCATACACCTGAAGGATTGTATCTTCACTCTTTTTAATGCACTGTGATGATTTATGTTTCTCTTCATGTTTTGTTCAGCCCTTTGAGCTCTCTCTGAACTGCGCTCTACAAATAAACTACAAGTACTACCAAGTACTGTTTTTTTCATTTCATTTTTCATTTATTTCAGGCAATGGCACAGGTGAGGTAAAAACAAGGTAATTAAATGATTATATATATTTTATTAAATAAACATGGCCATAAAATGTTATGCCTACGTGGCACATAAGTTACAGCAGCACAGGAACAAGATGGCGCCTCGTTCGGTTGACACGGCTCTTTGCTGCTCTCTTTCTCTTTTGTTTTTACTTTCAACATACGTCACTTGTATATTGTAAATAGTAACTGTAACTCCATCCATCCATCCATTTTCTTCCCTTTAATCCATTTCTGGGTCAGGGGGGTGGCAGTCAGAGATGCCACCCAAGTCTCATAGCACCAGCCCCTCACTGACCCTCTGCAGGTGGTGAGTCCACAGGAGGACGGCTGCTCTCTGACTGTGAGCATAGCCTTGATCTTTCAGTGGGGGCTTTGGGCAAAGTGGGGTTAAGTGTCTTGCCCAAGGACACAACGACAGCAGTCATCAGTGGGAGTCGATGGAGAAGGTGTAGAGGTGGGAATTGAACCCACGACCTTCAGGCCTGAAGGCCAATGCTCTACCAACTGAGCTACTGTCGCCCAACTGTAACTCTATTTTATAATCTAATTTTATTCTTTATTATCTCTTTCTGACTGTTGCACTGAGCCAAAGCAATTTCCAAGTCTGTGACTTCCTGTTACTTACGCGGAAATAAAAATGATTCTGATTATTGAAAAGGTGATAACAGGAAAAACTGGAATGAATTAAACACTCCCTGTTCAGTGGGTGGGCCTCACCAAATGTATTTATACACCTGTCACAGAAGAGGTCTGAACCAGGTCTGAACCAGGTCTGAACCAGGTCTGAACCAGGTCTGAACCAGGTCTGAACCATGTCTGAGGCAGGTATAAACCAGGTCTGAACCAGGTCTGAGGCAGGTATAAACCAGGTCTGAAGCAGGTATAAACCAGGTCTGAACCAGGTCTGAACCAGGTCTGAACCAGGTCTGAACCAGGTCTGAACCATGTCTGCAGTCAGCGCTCTCTGGGCTCCTCTGCTCCTCTTCATCTCAGGTAAATGTCTCTTCATCATCATCATTTGTTCATCCAAACTCAGACCAAGCCAAAACCCAGACCCAGACCCGAACCAAGACCCAGACTCCTCTGTTTTTACCTGATGTTTGTGTTTCAGGGGCTGCAGCTATGATGGAACTGAGTAAGTGATTTTTCTCACGTTTATGATTCAATTAGAGCAGAAATTAAAGCTGAGATACCTAATCTTCAGACCATAACAATAGACCTATAGATAAACCCATGGTACTTGCCCCTGGCTCTAAAACTTTTGTTGCCATTTTTGTAATTGTTAATTTAGACCTCAGCTTTAAACATGTGTTCTCTATGAGACTAAAGTTAGGGACCTCAGCTTTAAACATGTGTTCTCTATGAGAATAAAGTTAGGGACCTCAGCTTTAAACATGTGTTCTCTATGAGACTAAAGTTAGGGACCTCAGCTTTAAACATGTGTTCTCTATGAGACTAAAGTTAGGGACCTCAGCTTTAAACATGTGTTCTCTATGAGACTAAAGTTAGGGACCTCAGCTTTAAACATGTGTTCTATATGAGACTAAAGTTAGGGACCTCAGCTTTAAACATGTGTTCTCTATGAGACTAAAGTTAGGGACCTCAGCTTTAAACATGTGTTCTATATGAGACTAAAGTTAGGGACCTCAGCTTTAAACATGTGTTCTCTATGAGACTAAAGTTAGGGACCTCAGCTTTAAACATGTGTTCTCTATGAGACTAAAGTTAGGGACCTCAGCTTTAAACATGTGTTCTCTATGAGACTAAAGTTAGGGACCTCAGCTTTAAACATGTGTTCTCTATGAGACTAAAGTTAGGGACCTCAGCTTTAAACATGTGTTCTCTATGAGACTAAAGTTAGGGACCTCAGCTTTAAACATGTGTTCTCTATGAGACTAAAGTTAGGGACCTCAGCTTTAAACATGTGTTCTCTATGAGACTAAAGTTAGGGACCTCAGCTTTAAACATGTGTTCTCTATGAGACTAAAGTTAGGGACCTCAGCTTTAAACATGTGTTCTCTATGAGACTAAAGTTAGGGACCTCAGCTTTAAACATGTGTTCTCTATGAGACTAAAGTTAGGGACCTCAGCTTTAAACATGTGTTCTCTATGAGACTAAAGTTAGGGACCTCAGCTTTAAACATGTGTTCTCTATGAGACTAAAGTTAGGGACCTCAGCTTTAAACATGTGTTCTCTATGAGACTAAAGTTAGGGACCTCAGCTTTAAACATGTGTTCTCTATGAGACTAATGTTTTGTCCCTCTAACACTGAGCTCTCGTGCCTCAGAATGTGGCTCTGCTCCTCTCAACACCAGGACCAGGACCAGGATCGTGGGCGGAGAGGACGCGGTCGCAGGATCATGGCCCTCGCAGGTCTCTCTGACCGTGTGAGTCTGACCTCTGACCTCTGTGAGCTTTAACCATGTTACAGCAGTGTTCCTCCTCAGTCACAGACCTGAAACTGTGTTTAGATCCATCCACGCTCATATCAGGAACATTCTCATTGAGGTGTTTTTAAGCCCCGCCCACACCTGTGATACAGGCCACGTCTACCTTTCCAACTGAACATGTGGGTCTCCCCGAGGTTTCTCACTTTTTTCCCACTGGGTTTTTGTGAGTTTTTCCTCTGATGCAGGAGGGTCTGTTGGGCAGTTAGTGTCTAACAAAAAGGACTGTGGTGATCCAGGACACTTTAACATTCTACAAAAGTATGGAGATTTATCAACATGTGTTCTATGTTCTTTATGTGTTTTAACTGTTGATTCTCTGATCTGTGTTGGTGATTTCAATGGTTTTGTTAAGTCTCTGAGATCTGAGACATATTGCAGATTCTAAAACAGGATTAGATATTTTCATGAGCCACAACAGTGCGATACTTCGTCATGATTGATCAGATAAGACAGGGGAGTCAAACTGGTTCCAGAAAGTGAACCTGAAGATAATCATCAGGGTAAAACTGGACTCACCTGATGAAATGGGTGGAGTCTGATGAGCTCCTGCTGAGGGTGGAACTAAAACCCTCATCCACACTGGCCCTTTGAGGACCGGTTTGACACCCCTGAGATATGGGGTCCCACAAGGGTCGGTCCTCGGTCCACTGCTCCTCTCACCTGATTACACTTTCTCTGCAGGATGTTGCGCATTGGTCCTTTTCACTTCTGTGGAGGTTCTCTCATCAACGACAGATGGATCCTGACAGCAGCTCATTGCACGGAGAGGTCAGAGGTCACACATTACACCTGATGCACTTTCTGAACCTGAACCTCACAAAAAATCCAGAGAGACCAGAAGGAGGCCCGAGAGAGACTTTTGTACAGCTCAGGGAAGTTAGTCCCTGGTCTCTCTGGTGTCTCTCACTGGTCTCACCTCAGGTCCGTGGAGGGCCCCTGACTCTGGTCTCTGTCCCTGGTCTCTCCTTAGCTCAGGTCTGTCTTTGACTCTGGTCTCTCCTCAGTTTCAAAGCGTCAGACATCACTGTGTACCTGGGACGCCACACGCAGGAGCAGACCAACCCCAACGAGGTGGTGCGCACCGTGATGCAGATCATCAACCACGCAAAGTATAACAAATACACGCTTCAGAACGACATCAGCCTCCTGCAGCTCAACGACGTGTCCTTCAGCGACTACATCCAACCGGTGTGCCTCGCAGCACACGGCAACGAGCCCGACAACGGCACCGACGTGTGGGTCACGGGCTGGGGCAACATCAACAAGGGCGGTCAGCACTAAACACACTGTACCAGAGACTGAATACAGCTGGACAATGCTAACACAGACTGAATACAGCTGGACAATGCTAACACAGACTGTATACAGATGCTAATGCTAACACAGACTGTATACAGATGCTAATGCTAACACAGACTGTATACAGATGGGCAATGCTAACACAGACTGTATACAGATGCTAATGCTAACACAGACTGTATACAGATGCTAATGCTAACACAGACTGTATACAGATGCTAATGCTAACACAGACTGTATACAGATGCTAATGCTAACACAGACTGTATACAGATGGGCAATGCTAACACAGACTGTATACAGATGCTAATGCTAACACAGACTGTATACAGATGCTAATGCTAACACAGACTGTATACAGATGCTAATGCTAACACAGACTGTATACAGATGCTAATGCTAACACAGACTGTATACAGATGCTAATGCTAACACAGACTGTATACAGATGCTAACCTGCTAGCTCAACGAGGCCTGATAGAAAAGTGCTCGTGGTGAACTCGCTCTGGCTCCTCTTAATTGTAAAACAGATGGTTTTGGTTCCAAACTTCTTCAGTGTGGTCTCTCTCCTCTCTCCCCTGTCCTCTCTAACCTCTTGCTTGTGTCCTCTCTCTCCTCTGTCTCTTCTTCATGGGTTTTCAACCTTTTTTGATTTGAGAGCTACTTTTATAAAATAGAAATGTCAGAGAGCTACTCAAACACAAACTCCCTATTCATATTTATAGTTAGGCTCAATATTAACACGTGGTGTACATTGTTTTATTTTCTCAAAAGGCTTTAAAAACAAAACACATAGATCCTATAATTATATAAAGATATTAATAGTCATATTGACTTTATTCATCTATAGGCCGCTGAACTGAAGGGGGCGCTGGTCTCTGCTCTCACTCGTCTCTTCTTTCTCTCCTCAGTGGAGTCTTGTCCCTCAGTCTGATCTTGTCTTCTGTCCCTCAGTGTCCCTGCCGTCCCCGGGCACTCTGCAGGAGGTCCAGGTCCCCATCGTGTCCCAGACTCGCTGTGGCACCCTCTACAGACCCAACATGATCACTGACGACATGCTGTGTGCAGGCACCGACACCAAAGGCGCCTGTCAGGTCTGAGACCCAGGACTGAGGCTGTAGACCCAGGACTGAGACTGTAGACCCAGGACTGAGGCTGTAGACCCAGGACTGAGGCTGTAGACCCAGGACTGAGACTGTAGACCCAGGATTGAGACTGTAGACCCAGGACTGAGGCTGTGGACCCAGGATTGAGACTGTAGATCCAGGACTGAGACTGTAGACCCAGGACTGAGGCTGTAGACCCAGGACTGAGGGTGTAGACCCAGGATTGAGGCTGTAGACCCAGGACTGAGGCTGCAGACCCAGGACTGAGGCTGTAGACCCAGGACTGAGGGTGTAGACCCAGGATTGAGGCTGTAGACCCAGGACTGAGGCTGCAGACCCAGGACTGAGGCTGTAGACCCAGGACTGAGGCTGTAGACCCAGGACTGAGGCTGTAGACCCAGGACTGAGGCTGTAGACCCAGGACTGAGGCTGTAGACCCAGGACTGAGGCTGTAGACCCAGGACTGAGGCTCTCCTCCTCTTTCTCCTTTATGCTGTCTCCTCTTTTTCCTTTGTCTACTCTCCTCTCTCACATTCTTCTGTCGTCTATCCCCAGGGAGACTCGGGTGGTCCTCTCGTCCTGAAGATGGGTGAGACCTGGGTTCAGTTTGGAGTGGTCAGTTTTGGCCGTGCCAGCGGCTGCACCGATGCACCCACCGTCTTCACCCGTGTGTCCCGGTACAACACCTGGATCAAGGACCGAGCGGGCAACAACACAGGGTTTGTGGGGGAGGACGGGACCTCCCCCACAAACCCTGTGTTTGTGGAGGACGGGACCTCCCCCACAAACCCTGTGTTTGTGGAGGACGGGACCTCCCCCACAAACCCTGTGTTTGTGGAGGACGGGACCTCCCCCACAAACCCTGTGTTTGTGGAGGACGGGACCTCCCCCACAAACCCTGTGTTTGTGGCGGAGAACGGGACCTCCTCCAACGCCGAGAATCTGGTCCAGACCCTGAGCATCGTCCTGGTCCTGGGCTTGGCTCAGGTCCTCGCACCATAGCACCAACACTCAGGGGTTTGTGGAGGAGGACGCTGAGAGCCTGGTCCTGACCCTGGTCCTAAACCTGACCCTGGTCCTGGTCCTAAACCTGGTCCTAAACCTGACCCTGGTCCTAAACCTGACCCTGGTCCTAAACCTGACCCTGGTCCTAAACCTGACCCTGGTCCGGACCCTGAAGTTTGTTCTGATCTTTTCCTAAAGTAGTGACTTTGTCCTGATCTGAGGTACTGAAGTATGACCCGTGTGAATCGGAGGTCTTGAAGTATGAAGTACCTGTAGATAAAAGTGTTTTACCTTAAAAATAAATAAATAATTAAACTCTGTATTTAAATATAATAAAACCTGACTGGGAAACGTCTCTGTGTCGTTGTGTCTGTGCTGCTTCCTCAAACTTCCCACTAAACATCCGACGTCCACTCAACCTCCAGATCACGTCCATATCGCGTCGGTCGGACGTGACCTTTCATTCACGTCCAAACGACGTCTGTGTAGGTGTGCATCTGGACGTAAAACAGTGACTTCCCACAGACGTTGATATGAAATCCCCACCTCCCTATCTGCCCTGCTCACCCTCTGTGTGGACACTTGAGATTGTTAGGACAACAAATGCATAAGTTCACAAGTTTTATTCTTAACCACTACATAATCCTATTGTAATCCACTTTCTGATCTCTTGTAGGTACAGCGGTGGCATACTTGGTAAAGTGATCAGTCATAACTAGGATGTCTTTGGTGCTATGACTATCCGGCTCTAAGGACAGAAAATCCATACAGATTAACTCCATGGGCCTGCTGGTCTGGATATTTACTAAAGGCGCGGCTTTATCTGGTCGACTTTTCCTTCTCACACAGCGCTCACAATGTTTGATCTTTTCTTCTACATCCATGGCCATTCTCGGCCAGTAGAATCTTGATCTGACCAAGTCAATGATACGCTCGATACCTAAATGTCCCATTTCGTCATGGAGACTAGTGAGAGCAAAAGAACGCAGTGGTTTTGGCAAGACAAGTTGGAAGTACGTTCCATTGTTACATTGCCGTCGTCTGTACAACAGCCCCTCTTTGATTTCGAAACGACTCATCTCTCTGAACATCAATCGGCTCTCAGTTGATTCCAGCTCTGCTTTGGTCGGAACAGGTTGTCCTGATTCAATCAACTCCATAACTCTATTGATGAGAGGGTCTGCCCTCTGTAATCTTGCTAACTCTCCTTCACCAAGTTTAGGAACTGTGAAGAAGCCATTTTGGAATTCCTCTTCCTCAAACTCAATTGGGATTGCCTCAGGATGGATAGCGAGGGACTCGACAAGACAGGGAGCAAGCTCTGCAGTAATTTCATCTGCTATGAAATGGTTTTGGACGGCTGCTTTAATAACGTCAGCAGAGCAGTAGATGCTTTCTGGACTGAGATGATGAGATGTAAAGTCATTGATTCTTTTACTTTCCTCTTGAGAGTGACTGTCATTGATGAGCTCTCCATGAGGCCGTCTGGACAGGGCGTCGGCATCTAGATTCTGCTTGCCCGCTCGGTAGGTAATGTCAAATGTAAAAGTGGAAAGTTCAGCCAACCAGCGATAGCTGGCAGCGTCTAACTTGGCAGTGGTTAGTATGTACCTGAGCGGATTATTATCTGTGACTACTGTAAAGGTGTTGCCGTAAAGGTAGTCGTGGAATTTGTCAGTGATAGCCCATTTAAGAGCTAAAAATTCCAATTTGTGTGCAGGGTACTTAGCTTCACTGCGTGATAATCCTCTGCTTGCATAAGCTATAACACGGGACTGCCCATCCTGGACTTGATATAGTGCTGCACCCAGCCCAGTACCACTGGCGTCTGTGTGAAGGACGTAAGGTGGCTTTGCATTAGCATACCCCAGCACTGGAGCGGATGTGAGCCTCTGAATTATTGCATCAAATGCCTGCTGGCAAGCGGGAGTCCATCTCTCTGCAAAAGGTTCTTTAGGATGGAAGTATTCATCTTTCTTGTTATGCTTATGTCTTTTTTGTGTCGGCGGGTAGCCAGATGTGAGATTGTTCAGGGGTTTCATAATCTTGGCGTAATCCTGGACAAATCTCCGGTAATAACCAGACAAGCCAAGAAAAGATTTCAGCTCTTTTAGGGTTTCTGGTATCGGCCAGGTCTTAAGGGCCTTAACTTTTTCTGGATCAGTTTCTATGCCATCTCTGGACACAATGTGTCCTAAATATCGGACCGATGTCTGGAAAAACTGGCATTTGTCTGGTGATAGCTTGAGACCATTTTCTTTCAGGCGATCAAAGACATTTAACAAACGGGATTCATGTTCTTCTAAAGAATTTGAGAAGACAATTATGTCGTCAAGGAAAACTAGCACTTCGCGCAAGTGTATGTCTGCCATGCACTTTTCCATCAGCCGTTGGAAAGTGGACGGTGCGTTTGATATTCCTTGGGGCATTCGGTTCCATTCATAAAATCCTAAGGGACAGACAAAAGTGGTCTTGTGTTTGTCTCTCTCTTCCATCCCTATTTGGTAAAAGCCAGACTTCAAATCCATCACCGAAAACCACTGGGCACCGGCAAGAGCGGAAAAGGACTCCTCTAAGTTAGGTAGGGCGTAAGCGTCCTTGATTGTCTAGAGATTCAACTTCCTATAGTCCACGCACAATCTCACATCACCATTACGCTTCCTGACAACTACAATGGGTGAGGAGAAGGGGGACTCAGACTCTCGAATAATCCCGGCTTCCAGGAGTGTTTGGAGATGGCGTTGTACAGCCTCAAAATCTTGGGGATGTATTGGGCGTGATCTCTGCTTAAAAGGTGTGTCGTCCTTCAAATTGATGTGGTGTTTGACCTTTGTAGCATGCCCAAAATCTAGTTCGTGATGAGCAAATACTTCAGAGTAGTCACTAAGCTTTTGCGTTATTCTTTCTTTCCATACTTCTGGAACTGGTGAACTGCCGAAGTTTAATTTCAGTGTCGAGTTTTTGTTGTTTTCTTGCTGATTAGAAGAGCATGAATGTGGACGGTTCTTTGTAATAGACTCTTTATCATTTCCTGATTCATGCAAAACGCCACGGATGACTGACAACTCAGCGACTACACAGTGGGCTCGAAGTGTTATGTCGTGTTCGGTCTCATTTCGTAGAAGCACAGGAATCTTATATGGACTTTGTGTTGGAATCGTGATGAGACAATGATCGACGAGGATTCCACCAGGTAGGTTTAATTGTGAAGGTTCTTCAAGTAGTGCCCATTGTTCAGTACCTAAAGCTCTAGCATTCGCATAACCGTGGAAAAGAGCTTTTCCACCCGCTGGAATGACATTAGCGGTACTGCTACGGAGACGGATATTGCCGAGAGTACCAGTGGACTGTTGCTGATAACGGCATTGCAGGGCCTCCAATACTTGCACATAGCCACAAAGTGTGGTAGCTCTTAGAATATCTTTGTCACAGTGTTCTTCATATAGGGGGTCAAGTGTATTAGTCCCGATTAGAACTGGAATATCACAGTTGGAGCGAATATCTGGCACAACAAGGGCTAAGGTTTGGACTTCTGGTTCAGTGACAAGGAATTCTTTGGGAAATTTCATATTTATCTCCACGTATCCAATGTATGGAACTGGCAAACCATTTGCTCCCTCACTTGAAGTATATCACTGATTGGCTCAATTTTGTGTCTTGACAGATGCTGATTGTAAAAGGACTGTGATACAGTGGTGACTTGTGAGCCTGTATCGATTAAACAGCTGCACTCCATTCCACTAACTGCATTTGTGGTGCATTTACGACCGACAAGTCCTTTTGGAATATGTCTCAGTGGTTCTACTCTTTGTTCTCTCAACACAGCTCGGACTTTACTGGGTGACTTTTGTTTGGGACCCCTCTGTGTATCGGTTCCTAATGGTCCCTCCATAGGAGCCGTTACTCGTTTAAAGAAGCGTCCTTTGAAGCATTTTCATTATCCCAGGCTCTCTGTCGTTCCCGCAGCTCTTTTCTTTTGGCATCAACAAGTGCAGGATTTGCAGCGTCGCTACAAGTTGAAGCTATATGTCCATCCTCGCCGCATTTAAAACAATAGCCGGGTTTGGGCCTTGAATTTGCCTGTTGGTTTGAGGCTGGTGACTTTGGGTAAGGTTTGGTCTTAAACGGCTTGGTGTTTTTAAATTTGGTTGATTTCTCCTCCTTGAAAGCCGAAAGAGCTGAAATTTGAGCTTGCATGCTTGCTATTTGTTTCTGAATTTGTTCCAATGCTGAGGATGTGCCTTGAGGTTTTTCTTGAAACTCTTGGTCAAAGACATCATTGTCGCTCGCACAGACTGAGTTGGCTTGAACTTTAGTTTTGGGAAAACCCAAATGCTGCTTCATCCGCACATCTTTTGCAGCTTGCTTATCCTCTTCTGTGCGCAGGAACAATAGAAACTCTGGGAATTTTGGAGGATTGTTTTGCTTTTGTTCCAGCTGTAATGCTGTGATCAACGCATTATTCCAACATCCTCTTCAAAACTGTTTGAGCAACTGGCGGTCTGCGTCACTGTCACTCACAACTTTCTTTTTCACTACTTCATTCAGAGTGGATTGGAGCCTATGAAGATAGGTAGATGGTTTCTCTCCTGTATTTGATGAGTGTTGAGGAACTTGGCAAACAACTCATCACCATCCTCTACTGTTCCGTAAGCAGAGTCCAACAGGTTGAGGTAGGAGCTAGGGGTTGCTAGGGGACCTAAAGGTTTCACCACTTGGGCTGCTGGAGGCAACAGGCTATCAACCATTCTCCTGATCAACTGTGAATGAGGAATAGAGCGGTCTGATAAGTAGAACTCAATAGTGGATCGCCATGTCTCATAATCTACTTCGTGACTTGGGCAAGGGATACGCCCAGAGAAAGATCTCAGTTTGATATTATGAGAGAACTGTGGGGTCATTTCTGTACTCTTTACTATATGCTCAACTACAACACGCTGTACTTCAGGTGTGGTGATGTGATCTGGAGACAGGTGGAAGTTACCAAAAGAAGTTGC